GTCCAGGGAGAGGCTGGGGCTGGGTGCTCTGAGCATCCGTTCTGGCCTGGGCATGCAGCAGTTTTCCAATCAGGAGAAAACAGGGTTATGGCAAGGGACTGGGGCCTGCTCTCATGGGACTCCTTCCTGTGCTGCTCACCAGAGAAGCAGGGATGGTCATACTCTCCTGATATCAAGAAAACCACGTCAAGATGCCCAACACAGGGTACAGGCCTGCCCACACAGCCCACTGGGCATGTGCAGTGATTTAACTTCCCAGTGCCTCAGTTTACTCTTCTGTAAAAATGAGAAAAATAATACTACCTGCCTTGTGGGGTGTTGTGGGCAATAAATGAGGTCATGCATATACAGCATTAGAATAGATCCTGCACAATCGTGGGTGCTCAGCAAACACTGGGTGCTGTTGGTGGTAAGGAAGGGGAGGAGGATAATTTGCCGGAGAAGGGGGTTGGGGTGGCCAGGAAAGCCATTCAGAGAGGTTGGAGGTTTCAAGGAGTGAAAATGAAAAATCTAAGAGAAATCAGGGACAGATAGCGGGTGGGGTGAAGAGGAATTTTATATATATATATATATATATATCTCCTTTGGGCATAGCCTTTGAATCTAGAACAACCCAAGGGTCTCTGTGATTAAGGCTTTGTGACTAGGGAGCCTGCTCTGAGACACTGTGATTTCTGTATAATAAAATTCCTTATGTTGGGAGAAGGGAAGCTACAACACACCTGGTCCTGATTCATCCAGTAACTTCTCTCAAGTATATGACGTTACTACCCCCATCTTACCAGCGAGGGGACTGAAGGCACAGAGAAGTCAAATAACATGTCCAAGATCACACAGCTAGGATATCAATGGTCCTGGACTCAAAAGCATACATCAGTAGCTCCAGGACCCACTTTTCCCCAACCTGGTTGATTTCAGAGCCCCTCTCCCGCTCTGCCATGAGGATACACAGCTGGCCAGGACATTAACGTCCCCGACCCTCTTCTTGACATCCTCTGACCCACCATGTCTCCTCAGAACTCCCCTGCCCTCCCTGAGCCCCAGTGTCCTCTTCTGTTCAGGGAAGACCCCGTTTCCCCCCACTGACACAGAACAGGGAGAGTTGGGGTGCAGGGGGGACGCTCAGCACCGTCCATCACCTGCAGCAAAAGCTTAGGGGTGGGGAGGGAAGGAGATGGGCAGCAGGAGAAAGCTCCAGGGAGGGGGGCACCCAGACTGTGCAGGGGAGCCTGACCCACAGACGGGTGTCAGGGCTTCTTTCCCACAGTGGAGGGTGCTGGCCACCTCCTGACTCTGTTTGCACACAAAGCAACTGTGGGAAGCCTTCCTTGCCTCCTGACCAGCCCTGCCCCCTACCTCTCACCCGTCAAAATCTCAGCCCTGCAAAGCCAATCGCCTGGTTAGCGCTGGCACCTGCATGTCAACATGACAGAAACCGAAAATCACTGTCCCTCCTCCCACCTCAGCCTGTTCCTCTCTGGGTGCTGCTCGTCTCATCTCGTAAAGCGACACCGCCACCTGCTCTGTCACCTACTCTGAAACCCCAGCGTCATCCTTGCCTCTTGTTCCCCTCCCCCACACCTCCCCACATCCCTCAGGCACCAAGTCCCGCTGAGCCATCTCGATATCTCTCCAAGTCATCCTCTCTCCCATCATGCCTCAGTTCCAGTCTCCCCCATTTCCTGCCTGGACAACTTCATAGCCTCCTCCCTCCTCTCCCTGCTTCCCCTTCTCATCGCCCCCCTCCCCCAGTCCACCCTCTACGCAGTGGTTCGAGAGATTTTTCCAGGTTCCAAACTCATCCCTCAACCTCTTGCTTCCAGCACCTCGCTCATGGGGCTCCCTGCGGAGGCATCTACAAGCTCTCCCCTGGTGTAAAATATAAAGCTTTGTCCTTCCTTCCATGGTTTCCTTTTCAACCTGTCACAGGGCTTTTAATTGCCTATTTACTGCTGTGGGGGTGGGGCGACCCCCATCCTCCTCCATGACCCACTCACCATCCAGCAGCCAGACAACCTGTCTCTTGGCTAGAGGTGGGGAAGTAGAGGCAGGCCTCTCCCTTCCCACAGCCTTGCCGCCTCCACCCAAGGTGACAGCCAGCACACGGGTATGGTGGCCTCTGCTCCAGGAAACATGGAGTATCTGGTTGGGGGATGAGCTGTTGGCTCCACCTGGCAGTCATTCACGGAATGGGCTGTGACCTTGTAAACCTAGGGTTGCCCTTGCCATACCCTATCTTGAGACACCCAAGACCCTCGTGTACCCAACCCTGACCCTGGCCCAGGACACCAACAGGGAGAGACTGAGCAGTGTCTGTCCGTTGAGGTGGGAAGCTGGTAGGAGGTGGTGGGGCGCGGGGGAGGGGGGAGGGGAGCTGGGAGTGGACCATGGCTCTAAGCTACTGGTCCATGTACCTCCATATACCATTGTCCCATTGGTCTTCACTCACAAAATAAGGATTCAGAGATGAAATCGTATAAATTTCCTGTACTGTAACCACAGATCATTAAACCCCAAGGATGGGATTTTTCTGAGTGTGGGCCCCAGAGCAACTACATGGGTCACACGCCCATGAAGTTGGCCCCTTCCTCATCCTTCGCATCTCATCCTCCGGGAAGGACTAGGTCCTCCTCCAGTATTCATAGCGTCCCAAATCTTACACACTTCCCATCTCATTTTATCTATAATTTAAGTGTAATTGGTTTAATTATATTATGTTTAATTGACGTAATTAATTAAGCCCTGGGAAGATTAGAACTATGTCTACTGGCCCCAGCATGGGCCAGGGATATAATAGGCACTAAATAAAAATTTATTAAATGAATGAGAAAGTTAATGAAGGATTGGTCCTTGGGCCTCCCTTCTTAAAAACTACGGGTTGTTTTGGATGACCTGAAAGTCCCTAACATTTCTCAGATACCTACAAAGCAGCCAATAGAATAAGAGAGAGGTAAATATCTGATTTCCCTTCCTTCTGGCCTAATTCCTCTAATTTTCCTCCTGTTGGATTGTATGGAGATGAACATATAATTGACAAGTAGGAATTAAGAGTCCACAGCTAGGGGCTGGCTCAGTGGGTTAAAGCCTCTGCCTTCGGCTCAGGTCCTGGGATTGAGCCCCGCATCGGGCTCTCTGCTCGGCAGGGAGCCTGCTTCCTCCTCTCTCTCTTCCTGCCTCTCTGCCTATTTGTGATCTCTGTCTGTCAAATAAATAAAATAAAATCTATATAAATAAATAAATAAATAAAAAGAGTCCACAGCTGGAAGCTGGCTTTGTGACCCTGAGTATCACCTACCCTCTCTGGGCTTCACCCCAAAGGGATCAGATTAGGATCCCTCATTGACTGTTAATAGTCTGTCCCACCTTGACATTTGAAGTGATATTCACTGCTTTGGAAAGGTTTCTGGTAAGGTTTTCCTCTTCCAGAAACTCATCATCCTGTGTCTGTGAGCTCTAGACCTTGCCCAAGGCTTTGTAACTCCAGCCCACAGGTTAAAGGAAAGTGCACAGGACCTTGTGAAATTTTTAGGGCAGCCATTTTGTTCCAATATGGAAGATGACAGACCCAGTAACTTAACTCCCTCCAGAGAGCAATTTCTTTTGAAAGTAGTCAACTTCTTAAGCAGTTGAAATGGAACAAAGGCCCCAAAATATGAAATCCTGAAGAGTCGGGGGAACCTAGAGCCCTCCTGGATTCAGGGACGCTGAATACAAAGCCTGTCTTGTGGAAGGCTCAGGGCCCCCTCCCAGACTTGGTCGTATGGGTGCTGCCCACAGTTCATCTCACTCTCCTTCCATACTCAGGAGCTCAGAGTTTTTTCTGTTTATAGACAAGCACACACTTAAAATCTCAGCTTCTTGCCAGCTCAAGATAGATTCCCATGGAAACGGGCATAAAAGAGAGGCAAAGATAAATATCTTTCTTTCCGGCCCCGGATGCATGTTAATTGGCCTCCTCCCTCTCATCCCTGTGGTACAAATGCAGGACAAAGCCTGTTGAGATGGTGGGCCCATTGTCCTGTCTCCTCGGGGGCCTAGACTGTAAAGGCCTGAGAGCTCGGTTTCTTATGAGGGCTTCCCCTAGAAGTCCTCTCGCTGTCACCACATGGGCAACACAGTGATAATAAGAGCAAGTCCTAAAGTCAGAGAGGCCTGAGTTTGAGACCCTATGGCAGGATTTGCATGTGGGGTGACCCTGGGCAAGTTACCCAAACTCTCAGAGCCTAGATTTCCTTGTCTGTTACATGGATTTAACGGTGTTGCCTCACAGGGGGTAGTTAAGAGAATTAAGACAATAACGTAAAATATTTAGCACAGAGGCATCCAGTAAGCGCAGCATAAATGGTAACCATGTTGACTACTGTCTAGCTGTTATGTCAAGTTAGCCCTTCACCTCCACAGGGCTCAGTCTTCTCATCTGTAAGCCAGTGAGGTGGGGAGGAGATAGGACAATGGGATCCTGGAAAACCCTTTCTGGATCCGGCATTTCTGTGTCCATGTTATCAGTAAAAGGGCGAGGAGAACGTGGTCTAGAGCTCTAGAACACATGCTCTCTTGGAATCCCTAGATTCCACTCTCCCAGGGGGCAAGCTCCTCCTGGATGAGGTCCAGGAAAGGGAAAGCAGCCCTCGGCCTCCATCGCTCTGTAGCTGACCTTACTAAGCCTCAGTTTCCACATCCATCAGATGGCACCGCTTTATGGGGTTGTTGTGAGGATTTTCTGAGCTTCCCCTCATCAAATGCTTAGCACAGTGCTTGGGCACGAGGAGTCCTCACTCAGTGCTGGGTGGTAATATTCCAGAATCCAGAGTTAGCAGGCTTGCCCTGCAAAGCTATCAAGTGGCTCAGCCATGCAGGTGGCTGGGAGGGTGGGGTCTGTCTCCTCAGGAGACAGGAGCTCCAGCCCCCCGCCCCCAACTAGCAGGCAGTCCACCAAGGGGGCCTCCCTCAGCCTGGGGCTGCAGGCCCATGGGTTGGGGGGGCAGGAGGACCTCTCTTACCAGGCCAAGGTTCAGAGTGTTGTTGTCATCTTCTGGCATGGGCAGGTACACAGCCAGCGCCACACAGTTGGCAAAGATGGTGAGCAAGATGATGGTCTCAAAGGGTCTGGTGTCAGGGTTAAGGAGAGTGGGGTGTGGGATCGGTAGCGTTAAGGGGAGCGGTGCGGTACGGGCCCCTGTTGCTCCTTCCCTGCTCTCTTGCAGGTTACAGAAATGGCCAGGCTTTCCTCGGGAACAGGTAACTTCCACTTAGCCGTGACGGCAACTTGAGGCACCGGCTCCTGGCTGAGGGCTACTCAGCTTCAAGGGCAGGAAGACTCAATGTTCCCCAGCAAGCTCCTGCCCATCCCCCAACCCGACCTGTCCCCTCTCCTGAGATGCCATGATTTTCTGAGATTCTGGCCAGACAATATGGGGGGCTCACTCAGAGAACTGGCAAGGACTGCTGGGGGCTGAATATAGAGGACAGGACGGGAAAGGGGAACCTGTAGAGGTGGTACCTGAATCAACTCCCCCCACAACCTGAGGAAGGACCCGCTAAGCTGACTGAGTCAGCGGCCCATCCCACCCCCTCCCCAACCACGCTCACACGCTGGGGTGCGCATCCCACACCCACTCATGCCTCCCTCCCAGGCACACCCGTCCCCTTCACAGTCATTTCCCAGGGGGCACCCCTGGGGCCCATTCCTTTGTGGGCGAGCCCTGCAACCCATCCCATAGGCTGAGCCACTGGAAAGCGGGTGGTGGAGGGGGGTCCGGTTGGGGGATGGGAGGCACAGTGCACAGAAGGTCTGGACCAACCACCAGCTTCTCTTCCTGCCAGGGTTTGAAAAGAGATGGGCCACAGAGGCAGAAGCTGCAGAGGAGAAGGCGCAGAGGTACAGAGGATGAAGGAGAGAGAACCCACCGGGAGAAACTCGATCCCCAGGGCGCTGCACTCACCAGGTGGGCGGGGGGGGGGGCGCGCAACTCTGACCCCAGCCTTTCCAACTGGTCCCAAGTTTTTCTTATCCTTCTCATTAGCCCTTATTCCCCTATTGTCTAGGGAACAGCTGGTGGGCGCCCAGTCTTCCAGAAACTTACAGAAATATTTCAAATATTCCTGACCTCTCTCTCTGAGAAGGCATTTGACCAGCCCTTCCCCCAATCTCCTTCCCCAAATAACCCAGATATTTTCATCGGTCTTCCTCTCAGAGCTAATGCAAACAGAGAAAGGGTTGGCGAGTCCCTGTCCCCAGCGTGGTATGTCTGAGTTATAACCGCTGGGCATCTCGGCCTGCTCCCCGAGCCCCCCGCAGCAGCCCTTTGTTCAGGGCCATTTCTCCCTTGACTCCATCCTCAGCCGGACCCCCCTCGCTCTGCAGTCTCTGTGCCTTCACACCCTCCTACCAAGGATGGAGGGAATTTTCTTGCACAAGCCCCTACTTCTTTCTCTTCTATCCTGTATCAGAATGAGAACGTTGCCTCACACCCCTCAGTGGAGCCCCACGGTAACAGGATTTGGGCACACGTGTGAACCGCCCCCGTGGGACATCCGGGTCCCTTCCTCAGATGACTGTCACCAGGCCTGGGGCCGAGCACTCAGGCCACAGCGGCCCCACCAGGTCCTCCTGCTGTTCCCCTCCCTCTCAGCTGAAGCTTTCCTTTCCAGAGGCTCCTTATCCTCTTCTGGGGCAGTGCACCCCATCTCCAAGTCCCCGGGCCCCTGGGCCCCCAAAGTCTGGGTTCTGTGACCATGCCCTGCCTCCCTCTCCCACATGACAGAGGCTCTCCCCGACAGCCCGGGGGTCCCAAAGGATACTTCCATTCCACGATGTTGATGCAGGCCTTCCTCAGGGGGTTCTGGAGGGTCAAGCAGAACAAGGCCCGGGGCGGCCTTGGCAGAATCTCTGGAACCGGCTTCTTGGGCTGTTTCTTCCTCAGGCCCTCATCGTGGGGTGAGGACGGCTCCATGGCTTTCCTGGCAGTCTCGCTGTCTCCTGTCCCCCACCCCGCTGCCCTCTTCTCCCTGCGTCCCCAGTGCCCCCACCTTGGGGACTGGACCGGCTGAGCCTGCTGGGCCACGCGTGCCCTGCTGAGCCAGCCCAGGAGCGGGGGCGGGAGGATTACTTTCCCTGCTCCCAGCAAGTAAAATTAGCCTCCACTGGCTCCCTGCGGCCTGGCCTGAGCTCCTGGGGCCAGGCAGCTGTCATTCCTTCCCAGCCCAACCAGTGACATCCCAATATGTCCCTGAGGAGGTTGGTAGGGGGGTGGAGGAAGGAAATTTCACATGGGCCTGGGGTGGGGGCGGTGGGAGGCAGGATGGAAGGCTTCAAGGCTGGGACCATAGAGAATTCCGGAAGGGGAGTGATCTATGATATGGAGCCTTGAACTGCGGACGGGCTCCCTCATGCCAAGATGAGCTTCCCCTGGTCCCTAGCCCTATGGCACCCTCCAGAAAAGTTGCCTGGTGGCCTGGTTCAGCACAACTACACCACACCGCCATCCATCTCAGAACCTGCGGTCAGCTCCCAGGCCAAACCTCGCCGCCCATGAGCACCCCTGTCAGGGAAAGCTAACTTCTTCGCGCTGGGGTGAAAGGCTCCCTCAGAAGAACCTAGAACGTGCACACTTCAGGCATGTACTCTCCTCCCTCAACCCCTCCAGCCGCTAACTGCACAAAGCTCCTGTCTCCTGCCTGGGACTCCCGCCCCTGCCCGACAACGGTCCATGCTGTACACTAAGCTCCCTGGAAACATTAACTGAACGCAGAGCTAACAGAACACCCCACACCGCCAGCAGGAAGTGCTCTGAGCTGCAGGTGGGAGTGACAATTGAGGTAGACAACGATCTGGAATCACAAAACCTGACAAATTTTTTATTTGACCTCTTGGTACAAAGACAGTGCCATATGGTCCCATTACCCACAGAGGGATACCGTCTGAGGGGGGGAAACGCAGTTCTCAAGCAACCTGGGGGGAAAGGGGATGAAAAAGTTACACTGCGGATCCGCAGTAGGGTTGCGGGTGGGTAATCGCCCTCCAGCAAGGAAGCCAGGGGGCGCCACCAAGGCACACACGTGGCCTCTTCCCAAGCCTGATCTGGGCCAGCGAGTGCAAGCTTAGGTCTGGCCTCCTGTCCCGGCCTCAGGGTTGGGAAGGGGGGATGGGGGGGCGGGGGGAGGCGGTGGCAAACAAGCTGCCCGAGTGGACGCTAGGATGTGAGGCCATCTCGTGGACAGCAAGGGCATGGCTCATCCCAACCAAAGACCGGCCAGCCTCCTGGGGAGTGGCAGACACGGGCGGCGGGGGGGCGGGGGAGGGCACCCGTGGCGACAGAGTCGGAGAGGGCCACCACAACGGATGGTGCACAACCCGGAGCTGAGCTCCGACTTTCCGCAGCGCGGGGCTGAAGCAGAGCCGGAGGCCGGCTCAGGGATGGCCCTCCTGGTTTGCTCCGCTGCGTCCTGGTGCGCGCACGGCGCGCGCCCGGAACTTCCCCAGGCCCTGTGCCCTCACTGCACCGACGGGGCTCCTCCGGTCTCTACAGTGCCCCTCTATCCCCCTCCCTGCCCCTCTGCCCCAGGCTGGAAGGAACGGAGTCGGTGGTGACTGTGGCGGAGGGACGGAGTCGCAGACTCGCGAGCTCAGCGGCCCCGCAAATGCCGGGGGCCTGCGCCGCACCATGCGTGACCTGGCAGTCCCGGGCTGCTCTCGGGAGTGGGACGGCCCTAGCGGACCCCGCTCCCTACCCCTGCACCCCCCGGCAGCGGTCGGGATCAGTGGCTGGATTCCTCGGACTCAAAGAACGGAGAGGAGGAGAAGCAGGAGGACTCGGACGACTCCGGCACCTGGGAGGCGGGCGCCCGGGCCTCGCCGTCGCGGGGGCAGTCGGGCGGGGAGGCGGCGGGCGGCGCGCCGTCGGGGGCCGCGCTCAGCAGCCCCTGCAGGTACTTGATGTAGCGGATGGCGGCGCGCAGGGTCTCCACCTTGCTGAGCCGCTTCTCGGCCAGCGCGCCCGGGAGGTGGCCGCGGAGGCGCGCGTAGCCCTCGTTGACGCACTTGACCCGCTGCCGCTCGCGCTCGTTGCGCTTCTGGATGAAGGCGGGCTCGAAGGGGTAGTCGTACACTCCGAAGGCCCCGGGGAAGGGCACGTAGGGGAACACGCCCGCGTAGGCGTCATAGTACTGTGGCTCGGCCGGGCCCGGGTACAGCAGTAAGGGTACGTTGCCCAGGGGCTCGGCGGGGGGCAAGGGCGCCCGGCGCGGAGGGGCCACGACGCCCAGCTGCATGCAGCTGGGGGGTGCCAGGGGCCGCCGGTCCACCAGGGCCCGGCAGAAGTTATTGTTCATGGTGCCGCGTGGAGCTGGACCCAGAGTGAGACCCTCCCCGAATCGCCCCTGCTTGGGGTCTGCACGGTCCCGACCACCGCAGGGACGAGTCACATCGCCAGCAGCAGCCCTGGGATACCAGGATGGGTCAGCACTCCTCTCCGCCCTTTGGGATGGCCTCCGAGGTCTCCCTGACGGGAGTCATCGCTGTGGCCCAGTGTGGCTCCTGGCAGAGGCTCAGTGGCACCCTCTCCGATCCAGCCGTCGTGCCGCAGGACTCCCGGGACCCCTACCTTCTTCCGCGGCGCCCATGGGCAGGGCAGCAGGCCTCGGCACCCCACCTCCTCCTGAGCCCAGCATGGGCATCTCCCACGGGCACTAACCGTGGGACTTCATACTTGGGGCCATGGGCACCCCGTTCTTGTTCCTTACCGCCTTGGAGATCCCCCTGGCTGCTGGGCCACAAACCGCTGGCTGCTGTGAGGAGTGGGCCCGCTGGGCTCAGGGAAATGTTTCTAAAAAAGGGGAGAGTGAACATATCAATTAGGAATTGTATTAGGGGCTCTTCTGTGTCACCCCACCCAGTCCCTCCAAGGGGATTGTCGGCACCTGAGGGGAGGCAGTGTGGCCGCTGAGGAGGACAGGGACAGAGCCGGGTTCAAACCTGTGTTCATCCTTTCATGGCTGGGGGACCCCTCTGTGTTCTGGTTTCCACAAAGGGAGATAATTCAACATCCCTCACAGGACATTAATAATAATATGTGAGAATCAAATGAGAAAAAGTATACTAAAAAACACCTCCTGGGCCTGGCTTATAAAAAGTGCCCAGTGACCCTGCGATTTAACAATCACACTACTAGGTATTTACCTAAGAATACAAAAATACTAATCCAAAGGGCTATATGTACCAAAGTTTATAGCAACATTCTCTACCATAGCCAAATTATGGAACCTGCCCAAGTGTCTGTCCTTTGATAGATGAATGGATAAAGAAGAGGCAGTATATTATCTACAATGGAGTATTATTCAGCCATTAAAAAGGATGAAATCTTGCCATTTGCAACAACATGGATGCAGCTGAGAGTATAACGCCAAGCGAAATAAGCCAATCAAAGAAAGACAAATACCATAGGATTTCACTCATAGAATTGAAGAAACAACACAAATGAGCAAAGGGGGAAAAAAGAGAGAGAGAAAGAGGCAAACCAATAAAGAGACCCTTAACTATAGAGAATGAATTGCTGGTGACCAGAGGGGAGGGGGTGGGGGATGGGGAAACGGGGATGGGGATTAAGGAGAGCACATGTGATGAGCACCTTGTATTATATGGAAGTGTTGGATTTCTAGATCCGACACCTGAAACTAGTAATTACGCTGTATGTTAACTTACTGAAATTTAAAGTAAAACAAACAAACAAAAAATGCCTGATGATGTTGTTTCCTTTGAGAGTGGGGATCATTAGGTCTTATGATGGATACCTTCTAAAGCCTTCCATCCAAAGTCTTCCATCAAAGACTGCTTATTGAACTAGCACAGTGGCCACCATGAGTCCACCAAGGGGGGTAATTCTTTCCTGAAGGAAATGAATCCGATTCTGAGAGACTCGGGTGTTGCTGGGACTTTCCCAGGCCTCGGCCTAGCGGAGCAGCAACACCAAAGCCTTCCTCTCCCCAGTACCCGTGGATCTCAGCTGTGCCCTCCTACCCGGGCCTGGGCTTCTCCTTTGTGGCACTTAACGAAAGTCTGTTCTCTCACCTCTGTGTGCGCAGAGCCTGGCCCAGCTCCTGGCCTGTAGCAGATGCTGCTGCACAAATGTTTGTTGAATGGGCCAGAAGTCCAAGCAGAAAGTTGGGCTTGTCAGGGTCGGGTTCAGTTACACACAGCCTTTCCCAGGCTCTAGGAAGCTGTTATCTCAGAAATTAAGTGGCCTGCACTGAATTTAAGTGCCACAGATTCAGTCTGGGTATAATTTCCTCCAGAAATTCTCTCAGGCCCTGTTCTCCCCACTTGTGTGTGTCTCTAGTAACCTACAAATGCCATCTTAGCACCTGTCACACTACTCTACCATCGTCCTCCTCATGGAAGATGGAGTGACTGAGCAAGCTGCGCCCACATGGGGAGTGATGGGGCAGCGGGAGGCCTTGGACACTGGGGAAGGCCTTTCTGTGAGACAGAAAGGGGAGAGCTCTCTCCCTGGCAGGGGAAGGTTGGTGACTCAGACTCTTGAGGGGGTGACTCCTTCTGCACTTTCTCTTCTTTGTCCTTAACTGGGTCCCAACTCTGTCACCAGCTAGCTCTGCTCTCCACGCTGAATGAAAACCGGGAACAATCAACAGTGATTCTAAGTGTCACGGAGACTTGCATCTGGTCTCAAGAGCAGAAGCAAATGTGCCAGACATCGGGACAAATTCACATAACCCACCCCTGCTCAGCAGCCTTTCAGGGCTCCCTGTTGCTTTTGAGGGAAGGTTCTAGAAAATCTCTTTCTAACAGACTCCCAGCTCCATCAGGAGCAGTCTCCTCCCATCACTCTCTGCTCATTCCTACCTCTCTCCTTGGCTTCTACTGACAAGCCCTGGAACCCTTTAGATCGTTTTCTTTTCCCCACTCCTGCCAACATTTGAGAGAGTTCCCACCGGTGCT